ACAATCTAGCAAATTGATAAGTCAAGTGAAAACAATTTGTTTGTAATTTTATTTTAATTGCAAACAATTTGTTTATGTTTTTAAGTTTTTAAGTTATTTTTGGACCCGATGTCTTTGGACTTTCTTTTAGGGTTTCTTAGGCTCCTTAAACATTTGTACCTATATATAGGGGCACCAAATACAAATGTTGATACTTTTAAGTTATAATAATTGCAAACAATTTATTTATGTTTTTAATTTTTCAAGTTATTATTGGACTCAGATGTTTTTGGGCTTCTTTTAGGGTTTCTTAGGTTTCTTAAACATTTGTACCTATATATAAGGGCACCAAATACATATGTAAACACTTTTGAGTTATAATATATGCATTTACATTTTGAGAGAGGATTATCTTGGTTCTTGGATTAGAACTCTAATTCTTATCAAAGATTAAGATCTTTGTGGCAAATCTTCACTTGACTTATCAATCTGCTAGATTGTGACATCTCCATCTTTGTCTTATTTCACATTCTTCTCTGATTTATTTTTGTTGTGTCACTTGAAGATTCGAATTCAGAAAAGATAGTACTCTCTCCTGGACAAGATCGTATCATAAGTGAAAAACTATAACTATTGATTCCCCCAATCCCCAACAGGTTCATCCTAATAACTCATTTCAAATTAATAAAAAAACTTTCAAGTAAATCACATAACCTAACCTAGTACATTCACAAAAGACCAGATTCATCGAATTTGGAAAAAAGAGGAAGCAAAAATGAATTATAATGGTTAAAATTGAAAACCCAAATTGGAAGAAGGTAGATAAAGAGATAGTTGATGTGTAAGAGGAAGAGACGATAGGGCTTTCGATGGCGATAGAACTTCAATAGCGGTAGGACCTTCAACGGTGATTGAAACTTTTGATCTTTGTCTCTAGTGATATTGAGAAAGAATTGAAATATATAAAACACGATTCAACAAAAAGGAAAAATAAAACACAATTTAAGCAATTAACTGAATTGTAAATTCAATTTTTTAAATTAAACTATAAAATGATACAACTCAGTATTTATTAAAAATAATTTAGTTTTTCTAATATAATATAATATAAATAATTTATAATTAAGTATAATTAGATTAATTTTGTCTAGTTCTAAGATTAATATATAATCAACTATGTATTGTCAACCTAACGATGCTAAAACGAACGGTACAATCAACCTAAACCCATAAAAATAAAATACCATCAAAACCTTATAAATATGTGAAGAACCCAAGGTATTTATTGTTCATTTGTTACACATTTATTATCTTATATTTTTGGATGGTATGAGTGATGAATGTGTTTGAAAACAAAACATCTCAAATTGTAGCATACAAATAAGAGAAAATTAGATAAAAATAAATAAATAAGAAGTATATATATCTTTTGAAATCATCTCAATTCCCGAAAGAACAAAATAAAAAAGAACATTTAAAATTTTGTGAAGAAAATAGAAAATTCAAAATTTTAAAAACAATGAAATAGATACAAATATATGTTACATTTAAAGATTAAAGATGCGATGGAAAAAAAAAAACATATGCATACCAGACAAACAAAAATTTTCGCATTGCAATTTGCAAACTCTCCATTAAAAAGAGAGTCTAGATTAGACCTAACTATTTAATGATATCATAACTGCTATTTTACTTGAGTAAAATTCATTTTCATTTTTCATTGAAGATGCAATGAAACAATATTTACATTAAAGAGGGTGGGATCAAGCACAAGCTACACAAATTATACTGCAATGTGTGAGACGGTTAACCTAATTATACACCAATAACTGGTTGCTAAGTTAGTTTTTACTTAATTGCGTATAAAATCATAAGACTAAAAGCATTCAAATATCCAAACATCGATTAAAAGTAATTAAACACAATCTCATTCATTTAAACATAACTTATAACTCAACATGGTAAGGATAATCATTTTTATATTTAAGTTTCGCAGGTTAATTATTTAATAAAATAGATATTTTAGTTAAAGTATGTACACTAGGGTGAGTACAATTCTATTATCATATTTTTAAATCCTTAAATTATTACATTAACTTACGTTCGTGGAATGTATTTGTTATAAATTATAAATTTAATTTTAAAATTTTACTTCTTTTATTTATGTTTTAAAATTTTATTTTGATTATTTCTAAAAAAAAAGTTTACCATGATTATAAAGGTGTATATACATTCAAACAATACATATATTATTTTTAATTATAATATATTTGGTCTCCTGTATCAATATTTATTTTTAATATAATGGGGGTTACCAAAAAATCTGTCCCTTATCAATAATTATTTGACACTTACAAAAAAAAAAACACACACACACACACACACATATATATATATATAATATATCTATTATATATATATATATATTTTTATAGCCTATCGTTATCATTTCCTGTGTGATTAACATTTTTTTGTTAATGTTAAAAACTAAATCGTAACAAAATAAAATTTTATTGTCTAAACTATAACATCATGAACTTCAAAACAAAATATAAATCTTGATAATATATAATAAACATACAAAATATTAATATAGTTATCTATAATAATAACTATACCAACGTAATATATCTACAAATCTTAAAAAAAAAGTAAACAAGTTTTTCAAAAGATAATCAACAACTAAGGAAATATCTAGCTACATCCCAAAGTTATTTAGCAACATTTTCGACTTCTCTAAACCCAACTCTACCTTGTTCACTATCGATAGTGTGATCGTTTGCAAGATATAAACATTATCACAAAGAAAAAAAGACCGGTGTAAGTTTCGTAATGAAAAGAAGTTTTATAATATAATTTAAACATAAACATATTAGTGTCATTTTTCATAGCAAATCATAACTCATAACCATTTATGTAGATGATAATAGATTCAATTATTCATATACATGCTTTGATATAAAACTGTTAGGTTTAACAAGGAGGAGGTTCACCGGAGAGACACAAACACCAATGAGATTTGAGTTCAATCACATAAGGGATTAACACTAGTCTCTACCCAAAACCTTAAAGGTTGGGTTAATGAGTCTTTCATCTTTATACAGTGATCTACTTTCTCATTTCTATCCAATGTGAGACTTAGACGCACACTTGGATTCCCAACAATCTCCCTTTCGGTATAGGGATCATTGTACTCGTTTGAGTTGGTCACCAAGACAAATCGTTGACTCTGATACCACTGTTGGGTCTATGGAGGAGGAGGTTCATCGGGAAGACAACAAACACTAATGAGAATATGAGTCTAACCACATAAAATATTAACATCACTCTCTTCCCAAAACCTTAAGGCAACAGATTAATGGGTCTTTCATATTTATATAGTGCTCTACTTTCTCATTTTTATCCAATTTGAGACTTAGACTCACTTTGATTTCCAACAAAACTTCACTGTAGATGTGCACTCGTAGTAGTATTTATACTTCAGAGAGTCATAAACATATGAATTGTCACCCTATTTCACGAGGCTAATCTTTCTGAACTTTCATACATCAAAACACATCACACTAAACCCACACAAACTAATTCCTTCTTGGATAATTTACAAACATACTCAATGATCATTGCAAAATAATTATCACATTAACATTCACACAAACAACCTTAAAACATCCATAAACTAGAAAACATACTACGAAATTTTTATGAACTTTGTTAATTTGAACTCAATGAGAGCTAGTTGCTCACTGTAATATTTAAAGTAATAACAACAACCAGTAACTCGCTTAACGAGATCATCACTAATGGGCACAGCACTTAAAAGATCACAATTCGTCCAGCGAGATGGTCTCGCTCAACCATGGTCTCAACCATTCTCAAGTCAGTGAGTCTATGATTTTAGTCTTGCTCGGCGGGAGTTTTCTCACCTAATGAATACTAAGTTAATGGCTCTTGAACTATAGCTTGCCTAACGACCATATTTTCTCCTTGCGAAAACCATGTCAATGAATCATTTGACTTTGGTTTCGCTCAGCGAGACTCGTTTAGTGAGTTTGCATAATTTTTAAAACATGAATTCAATAGATTTATACCCATAAGCCTCTGCAGTCCAATCTAACAATAACCATAGATGTTCAAAACAACCATTTTTAGATAATACACAAATTTTAAAACTACACAGTTTACTTCCAATACAAATCATTCACTCATATAGTTTAAATCATATATCTCGAAGACAATTCAACTTCTCCAATCTCAACTCACAAGTCAACTACATTAACAATAAAATTTCACCATTCAACGATACAGTTTACATTAATAATTAAAAAAACTTGTCTATCAGTTAAAATTAAAATAAAAACCAATTTTTCTTACTTGTCACCTGACTCCAACTATTTTAAGGTTCCTAAAACAGTCTATACCACAAAAGAAACTCTATCTTCTCTTACTAACAACACAAATATGATTAGGACACATCATATAAGCACTAATCAACAAAAGTTTCATAGAAGCTCAAATTTCATATGCAAGAAAAAAACACTTACATGCACAAAAATCTCAAACAAAAAAAAAGAATAAAAATCAATTTATTCTTTTAAGAATCAAGGACATAGTGTCATATCTTTAAATAGTTGAAGAGATAGTTGAAATCTCTAGAACTGAGAGATAAAAAGTTCTAATAATTTTAAAAAAATGATATATTTTTAAATAATAAAACTCTTTAATAAAAAATATATTTGCACATTAAAATTTTTAATGATAAAATAAATAAGATTCACTATTTTAACACGCAATCACTTGTAAAACATTATTTTTTTAAGATTTTACACACACTCGAACGTAACATTGGGACAAAATATTGAAAATATAAAATTAAGTCATTGTTACTAAAAATATTATAAGCACATTTTTCTAATATCATTGTTTTAAATTTAAATTATATAAAATAATTATCATCATAAATAAATTTTATATACATACATAAACTAGTATAACCATTATGAATATTTTTGTAGATGCACTGGGAAAAGATTGTGTCAAGTGATTGCAGGGACTTAGGCAAAGAACATAACTATTCTAAAGAAAAATCCAGAAGTATATCATGTAACATCAACAATAACTGCTTGCTCAGAAACCAAAAATCAAACACAATCCCTGCATCAAGGGTTTTTGCTTTCAATTGTTTGTCTCAACTCATCTTCGCGCATAGCTCAGTGGTTTTAGGGAGCAATCAACATGGCGAAGTTGTCGTCATCTTCTTCGAACTCTGAGAATTCCAGAGAACTAGTGTGCGTGGGAACATTGGAAATCGCCACTCCCAAACCCGTTGGGTTTCTCTGCGGCTCAATCCCCGTTCCAACCGACAAGTCCTTCCACCATGCTTTCCATTCTGCCCTTCTCCCTATTCCCCAAACGTATGCGCACACATACTCTCTCTGTTTTTCTCACTCAATAATTTTTTATTTTTTTTCGTTTGAATTATGTGTTGTGTTTTTAGAATTAAGTGTTATTTGTGGTTGTTTCAGGGTGAATGCTCCTCGTTACCGTTACCGGATGCTGCCGACTGAGACTGATCTGAATACTCCCCCGCTTCTGGCCAATTTTCCGGACAAGGTTCTTCCTGTTGGCGCTGTTCACTCCAAGACAATAGGAGGAGGTGCTTACTCTTTACCCTTGGAGTAAATTAATTATATGTTATAAGTGGAATCTCATGTACAGTGGTTCAAAATATGTTCTATTCTACCTTTTCGCACTTGGTGGTTGTGTATTTTTGTTTTCACGTTCTTCAAAGCTATCATAAATTGCAATTGACATTGTAGGAAAACACAAAATTTGGCGGTTGTCATTCTTTATTTGAGGGTGTCATTCTTTATTTGAGAGTCCCCTTCGTGATCGGTTGTTCCATTGTATTTTAGCCTAGGATGTGTTGATGGTAGTCTCATTGTAATTTGACCTCTCTCTTTTAGAGTTTGTTATCTAATTTTTGTTTTTTCCATTCTTAGTTCTGTGGACTTTCATTGAATTTAGATACATATATTTAGTTATAACCATCTGAAA